CAGTGGGCAATCCAGCAGCATGTGGCGGCTCCCTTGGTTTTACATGAGTAGGGGGGTGGTTTCCAGTCCTAAGTTCGGCAAGTGACATGATTCTTGTGCACTTTTGGACAGGACAAATGAGACATGGTTCTCTGGCCGCCAAAAGTTGTCACTGCAGTCTTTTCTCCCAGGATAAATCTAGTCACCAATGACAACCTGGCTGTTGTAGGCTTCCAGCCCTTTTGCGGTGTGAGGAAAAACTCATGTAATCATGTTTGGGGAAGCACTGCCCAGAACCCTAAGTGGCAACCTTCAAATCTATGCTGACCTCCCACACAGCTTTTAAATGGACGTACCTTAGTATATCCTTGAATGTTTCAGCTTCCAAAGAATATCAGTGAGAAATGGCACAGTCAGGCAACCACTTTCAACACAGCTTGACCAAGAGAATTGGTGTCAAAAGAATGAGAGGCTGAATGGACATTCTTAGAGGCTTAATCCTCTTGAGATAAAAGCTGAGAGGCCTTTTCACATGGAGCTTAAGGAGATGAGTTTTGCCAGGATGGGCACGTGGGGTGGGAAAAGTACTGGTGGAGTGAATGACTGAAAGAGATAGTATTCTGGCCTGAATCAACAAGCATTAAGGAAACTCCTTAATACGCTCATTTTTATTCATTCGTTCGACAAAATGAGTGCCCACTGTGTGCGGGATTCTGTGTTAGGTGATGGGTTTTTATGACATTTAGCATAAGCTGCATCACTGGCTAAAATGAAAACTCACTTACCTCTCAAAGGTAAATTTAGTGTGAATACAAATAAAATTGCCAATGTGGTAAATTTTACTTGGGGGTAGAAGTCGTTCAGAGGGGGACTTTCTCTCATCAGCTAGGTAAGCATTGCCTTAATCCTGGCCTAAGTGTTTCAGGGAAACACTGACCTGAATAGCCTACTACTTGCACGTGGTCTCAGGCCTAACCGCACTCAGGTTTGCCCCTCTTTATGAAGGGCAAACTTCTGGTACAATCTGTACTCGGAAATCCTTGCAAACCTCTCTCTAGGCCTGACACAAGGGAAAGGAAAGGTGTGGCTTTTTCATCATAGCTTGCAAAGCATCCTTGCAGAGCTCATCTTTTGTGGGGATACACACTGACATTTCACTGATCCAGACATCCTGATGCGGGTGTCTCTCCTGTCAAATCAAAGGGGAAGGGTTGGTGGAATGGAAGGTCAAAGCTTAAATCTTGAAGTTTCAGTTCAAGACCCAACACACTAGCTACCTGGCCTTGAACAGGAATCTTAACCTTTCTAGGTTTCTGTTGGACTGTCTGTAGAATTAGTTACTGATGTTTACCCCACCAGGCTGTTATGAAGATTGGACAGGAGGGAGACTTAGTGAAGGCAGGGTCGCAGGCTTTTGCTGTCCTGGTATTTCCAGGATGCAGCCCAAGTAAAGGTGTAGCATACACGCAAATGATATACTATTTATTATACACAGAAAACCACACATTCAGAGACATTCAAATTAATCTTTTTGATTCATACCTGGATTCTTGAGTATGAATTGACAGACTAATAAAAGGAGTAGATAGTGTTAACAATGGCAGATCATACAGGCTGTGAGTGTGTATGGGTGTGTATGGAAGGATTTCTGTGTAAATTCTAGCACACACTGTGGGAGCCAGAGTTATGAAACTCACGTTCTCCCAAATGATGACTAACAAAGCAGATGCCTTTCAGAGTGACAGCAAATAAGTTAAAGATGAGCCCCTCTGCCAGGAAAACCTATGTTTGGGAATGATAAGCAAATGGAAAAAAAGAAATGAGAATGTTGGCACATTTGATTCCTTTGCTATGGACTGAGAATCACAGACTGCCAGCATTTGAAGGAATGTTAGCGTTCCCGGAAACAAGAATTCCTTCCATGGTGCCCCTCTAGAGAGCGGGTTCCTGCCATGGTGCAACCAGCCCAGCCAGCAGCTGGAAGACCCTCACCTTATTTTTGTTGGAATGAAGAGATAGAAAGTTCTTCCATGACCCAACTGTGAATTTCTTCCTTGCCACACTCACATACAGGGCCCCCTGAGCTACACTCCTCAGTTACACTTGATAAATGTTGGTATGTGGCAGCCATTTTCAGATAGGAGATACGTTATTTGAAACTCTAGGTTCACATTTTTAAATGGTTCATTTATTGGAAGTTCTAAAAGTTCTTTAACATGCTTCAGAACACTGGGCTGGCTATAAAGGGAAAGACGGGTCACATAGGGTTTGGTCCCAAAATACATATTCCTCAAAGTATCTTCTGGGTGGAGTACTGCACAGAACAGATGGGGGGAAATGCTGCATCAGCCCAGCAACATTTGTTAGAGCACACCAGGGGAAGACTTGCCTGGTGATCAGGTGCCCTGCAATGTCCTCAACCGTGGGTATATCAGGCATGTGGCAAATGAGCACTCACAGGCAGAGCCGTGCGGCCTCTACCAGGGAGACCACCAGGAGTCACTTCATCAACTTCTGCTATTCTTCTTAAATGGTTTTTTCATGGGACTAATTAGAAGTTCCTAAAATATTATGAAACTCTCCTTAAGATTCCTTTTTGATAAGGTAAACATCTTTCTGGATTCAAACCATCCATTGAGTTTTCAAGTGGAAATATCTTGCAGAAGCTAATTTAGTGGTACGACTGGGAAGCACTGTCTATGAGGAGTTATGGGAGCACAGGGCTTGGGTGGGTCTTGGTTCCAAGTGCCTAGTGCAGTTCAGGAGGAAGCGTTCATATATTGAGTGTGTAGTACATGCTTGGCACTTCCACACCCATGATCTCATTTCAACTTTAGGACAATCTTGCCAGGTAATATGTCTGCTTTCCCAATAGAGAGACTCAGAGGGACGGAGAAACAGAGCAGGGAGTAAAGAGCTGACATAGACAGCTGATGCCAAAGCCCAGGGACAGCCGCCATATCTCCTCAACTCCCAGAGGACAGCCTCAGGAATATTCCTTTTCTTTGGAATACTCTAGAAGGAATGCAGCTCATACAACAGGAAAACCTCAGCAAAATTATTATGAAGGGAGAGGCAGACTCTATCTTAAATCAAAGGATATATCTGCCCTAACTCTACCAAAGGCCAAATCTCCAAATAATTATGCCAAAAGACACAAAGATTTAATAAAAAGATGATGGTCAAGAACTTGGAGATTGAACTAAGACCATGTTATATGACAATTATATCTTGCAAAAAAGTGGGGAAAAAAAGAACTTAAGATTAAAGTAACTTTAGTGACATGCGTGACAACAGTATTAAGCAGGGCCAAGGTGCCTGAGGCCGTCAAACATTAACTTCACGGGAGGCCTGGCGGGTGGGGAGCACAGAGGAGAGTGTGATAGCCAGGACAGAGCCGGCAACGCTCAAACAAAGTCACTAGCTTTGAACGTTTTTTTTTTTTTTCCTGATATATTTCCCAAGTTAGTTTATATGTCTACTACTTTGGCATACAACAGGCACAAAGCATTTTTTTTTTTTTTAACTGCCAACTGTTGATGGGTCAACAGCAGGCTGTTGGAACAGCAATTTCTTTGAAGATTCTAATGGCAAATAATCCTTGTTAAGCTTGTCACACCTTTCTGTACAAAGAGGAGAAAAATGTGAAAGTGCAGTACTTAACTATCTCTTCTACTCTAAAGAAAGTCTATGGAAAATACCATCTGCATTAATTTGGGGGAGAGTCATCTACTTGGAAGGGATGACTGGAAAGAATACTGGAGAAGTAAGAATGGGCAACTGGATCGTTTCCTGGTTTCCACCCAATAAGTCTTTGTCGTTTTAACCGAAATTAGTTCAGAGGTCATTAGATACTTCTGCGTTCAAAGGCAAATTGCAAAGGAAAAGCATCCAAATAACTTTTTGGTTATTTGCAGCTTGGGATCATCTACATTTCTATTAATAAAAAGAAAACAAAGAAGAGGCTCTGCTCACAGAGTTTTCTCAAAATGAAGAATAAAAATGCAATAAACTATATCACTGGGAAAATGCTGAAAAGAAAAGAAAACCTCTGTATTTTGGAGTGAAATATTATCTGATGCAGAATTTATACAATAATTGCTCTACTATCTACTCCTTTTTCAAAACCAGAGTTCATCACAGAAACATGGGTTTAAAAAATTAATCATCAGGCCATGAATTGTACTGCCATAAAAGAAAGCCATTCTTTTCTGCTTATAAACAACAAAACTACCACATATGCAGATGCATGCCTCAGTACCTCGGTGCAATGGTGTATTTACTTGTATAAATATTTAAAGTCAGACCTTTGAATTTCTAATGAAGTAGTACACCACTTTACAAAAGAAGATACTAGTAAATTTAGATGTACGACAAATAGAACTCTGTTCAGAATACTAATTGCTGCTGTTGATATTCTAAAACTAAAAAAAGTAATGATATTCAGATTCCATCTAAACAAGCATAATACATGGGCAGAAATCTCGATAGGTCTTGATGAAATCTTACTGCTAAAATTGTTAAATTATCAGACGAGCTAACCACCTCCTATTTTTGGTTAGTTTTAAGTTATCGGAGGTACAAGGTAAGCTTCATGTCCGGCACTTCCTCCCCGCCCCCCACCCCACTCTTATTTTAATGATACACATTCAATTATCACAGGCAAGAAAAGAGTCACATCAGAAACATCTGTAGTTTGCCATATAATGACAGGGTGTTCCCCATGGAGACTGACCTTGTCACCCAGACGCAGGTGCTGAAAGGCTGTGTGATGGGGGTGCTCACACGTGTAAATATATGACATGATTATGAAGAATTCAATAGACACGGTTATTTTCCACCTTAGTTTATGTTAACATATAAGCTCACACGTTCTGCTCTTATGATTAACCGCCTGCTCCAGCATGCAGCAGTTGAATATCCTTGCTCTTAGTGGAGTCCACAAACCACTAACCTAGAAGGTTCTGCTTATAAGATAAGGTGGAATCCTGTTTGAAATTCACAGGTGACTGTAACTTTACCTGTTATCGGGATCTTCGCTGCCATGCTTTCTTCCCTGCTCTCGTCTCCACAGCCACTGGAAACTTCTAAAAACAAAACACATGATGATGAAAGTGTATCTCAAGGATATATTTATGGAGTGGACCTTTGTTTGCCTTTTTTTTTTTTTAAACTGCCGTTCCTTTTATTTTCACTGCCTCCCCATGTCCCTTTCTGTGGGTTAGTTTATTTTTTTGTCTGAAATTGTACTGTTTCCAAAGGAACCCTATTCTTTTTTAAGATTATTTATTTATTTATTTATTTATTTATTTATTTATTTATTTGAGAGAGCTTGAGAGAGCATGAGCAGGGGGTGGGGGAGGTAGGAGGGGTGGGAGGGTAGAGGGTGGGAGGGGCAGAGGGACAGAAAGAAGCAGACTCCCTGCTGAGCAGGGAGCCCAACAAGGGCCAGGACCTGGAGATCCTGACCTGAGCCCAAGGTAGACACTTAACTGACTGAGCCACCCACGTGCACGAAAAGGAAACGTGTTCTAAATCTAAGGTATCTCTATGTTGCCTTCAAGCAAAATACTATAGAGTCCAACATCTATCAAATTCAAATAGGGCTTAAAACAATTGAGCTCCAAATCCTGCGCATGTATATTGACTTCTGAGTATATCCTGAGCAACTCATGGCTGTCTTAGAAATACCATTACAGCAGTTTCCTGGCATGCCTTAACAGTACTACTAAAATAATCACAATTTCTGGACACTAAAAATGGGCTGTTAAATTTGGGGGGCATAAACTCATTGATTCTTAGTCATCTGTTGAAACTTTTATAAGGTTCCATTACAATTAAAAAGAATGTTTACAAATTATGAGTAAATTTTATTAAGTGATATCAAAAACTTCAAAGTATTTTATGGAATCATTGTAATGTAATCACCTTCATCCTTGTGACATGATCAAAATGATCTACTGCCAAGAGATTCATTTTGCTAACATTTCATTACTTATAAAAACTTATTGGAGGGGTGCCTGGGTGGCTCAGTCAGTTAAGCGCCTGCCTTCGGGTCATGATCTCGGGGTCCTGGGATGGAGCCCTGTGTTCTGGGATCCAGCCCTTCACTGGGCTCCCTGCTCAGCAGGCAGTCTGCTTCTCCCTCTCCCTCTGCCCCTCCCCCCGCTTGTGCTCTGTCTCTCTTTCAAATAACTAAATAAAATCTTAAAAAAAAATTATTGGAAATTCAGCATAACAGCAGACCTATGATTAGGTCTTCCATTCCTGTTAGACTAAACGAAAACAAATATATATCCTAAAAGGTGGTATAAAACAGAGAAACTATCATGCATATTAAAGTCAGAAGTATTCTCTAATCAGCTTAATTTTATAAGTATACCTTAAGAAAGAGGGTGTTGCGTTGATTCTGAATGCATGTTTTCTGTGGACAGAATGTATAGCAATAGTTACCTTGTTCCTTTGTACGAACATTGTTGAGCCACTGAGCGGGTTTGGCTTCCTTTATTCCACTATTGTCATTCAGAATAGACGGCAAGCTGCAAGATGATTCATCACTGTGAATAGCTGACCTACTGTCACACTCTTCTGTAAGGGCTTTTTTCAATAATGCTGTTGCCTACAGTGTTTAAAAGAAAGCACAAAGAAATAAAAACAAACTCTAACCACATTACCCTTGGTCTCAAAAACCCAGCCTTCAAATGTAATTTTAGGTTAAGCTTTACTTGGGATTTAATTTGCTTCCTGACATTTAACTGAAATTAAAATGTCTTCAAGATGAGACAACATCTGATTATTTTCCAGCATAATTTCTTTACAACAACTTGCACTTGTGATACCTTCTTTGAGGACTTATGGAATGCAAAAGTGTTCTTTGACTCATGAAGTATGTATATGAGATGTGACCACCTCCGTTAATCTGGGCTAGTTTATCCAAGATTTATCTTTCATTGCATGAATCTGTTTTTCAGGCATGAAGATAGTTGATTTGGAATGAGAGAGCTGGAAGGATGTGACTTTGAGGTATCCCCATCCTTCTAGAAATGACCTGTGAACTTCCCCAAATCAGAAGATTGCAGAAAAACTTTGTGGCTGAGGAGGATACACGAAAGCAAAAAGAGAACTAAACTTATTCTAAATCATAATCTTCAATTAAGGATAAAGACACTCCGCACTTTGCCCCTCAGTCTTCTGGGAGCTCAGGAAACTGGCCTGCCACACTGCCTATCTGTTTTCAAAGGGCCCTGAACTGTCTTTACCCATTATCACCTCATGTCTCGTGGGCAGACAGATGGGCACAGATTTCATCACAGCCAACTTGAGAGGTAGAGAACAAGTGGCAATTAACAGGACAAGTTAATACTCGTGTCTATTCATTTCCAGGTCAGTACTCTCCTCCTGAGAAATACAAATATACTGGTAACAAGAGGTAACCAATGATGACATAACCTCCTTCCAGAGTGTATATTTCTCGTTCACTTCCTACTTGTAAGTGATGATTTGCCCAGGCTTTTGGCAGAGAAAACCTAGGTGGTGGTGCTGACCTATCACTGGTATCTGATGACAGGAATAAATACAGGGCAGTGTCCAACCCAACCCGTGGGAAACAAACATGAGATTCTACAAGTTAATATGAAGAGTGGGACAGGACAAAGCCTCACGGGTCATCTTTAGTCTAAGCACAAAGGGGTAACACCATAATTATCTGGGGAAGAAGAGGGAAGACAGTAATTTTTCCTTGTGATTAATACGAAAGAAGGTGAAGATGCCCCGACATATCTGCCTCACTGAGGCAGAATATGGAAGATCTAGCCTTGTTGAGTTTGGCCTGGAACATACTTTGAGGTCACTGCCGTGGGCCTTGACATCTCTGCAAGGCTCTTGCCTTCTGCCCTCCCTAGGACCGGCTGGCCTCTTGGACTCATGCCCATCCTAGGGGCTGCAGAAACTGATTAGAGGGGATTTAAGAAGTTCTAGTTTCCTTGGCCAAGGGACCTGGCATCAAGTTAGACTTGCAGCCAAGACCTGTCTGTAGTTCACTTCTAGTAACCAGGTGCTTTTCCTTCATTTGTTTAGTCCTGGATCTTATTCCAATTGCGGTAACTCTATATTGAGATGATCTGCACAGTATCCCTGCAGACTAGGGTTCGGGTATAAAGTCCCGCCTCTGAAGCTCAGGCCAGGGCTGGTTCCTGTCCCTGGCTGTCAGAGTGCCCCAATCCCAGCTGCCTATATGGACCACTGCACTGCACCTGCTTCCGAATCTGTCCAGGAAGAGAGGTATGAAAAGTAGGACCACGTCCTTGAACTGCCATCTCTCAACTGTCAGTATGGTCTCTGGACCATCCTGGCGTGTCTCATTTCTAGATCTCTACCCATCCTGATCTAGTCTCTTCCCACAGAGAGTTAAGCTCCAATTCTGTGTGCCCAATAATCCTGGCTATGTGGAAAGCATTTTAGAATATGAACAAAAAGAATTGGCCCAGATTCTGTAATGAAAGCTGTAGTTTTCTTTTTCTGATAGTTAAAATAATCCAAACATCTGGAAGACCCTCAAAGATGTATTTCTTCCACATCTTATGCAACAGCTATAACTAACAATTTCTTGACATGACTTCATTATAATGGCCTCTGTCTTACACATATCTTAAGAATAAAATTGTTTAAGAACTGTTGCAGCTTCCTGCACTTTGTGCTGCAGAATTTGCAGACAACGGAAACTGGGGTTGCCAGTGACTCAGATTACTTCTCATTAGGCCCTCAATGATGACACACAATTTATCTCACTGCTTTGTGCATCCCTTTACATACGAGACCCTCTTTTGCTTTAGTTGGGTTCCAACTGGGCCTCAAAATAAAATGCTATAATAATACTGCAAATGTCTAATAAGTCTTTCTATGCTTGATACTGATACCAGCCCTGCCACCAGTTCTATGCTGAGCTCCCCCCCCCTTTTTTTTTACTGGGGTGAGGTAAGTAGAGTGGTGAGCATACTGCAGGTCTTTATTTATTTTGTACATTTCATAAATGAAGATAAATGATATTCACTACTCAATACTCCTATCTCTAGGATTTCTCATACTTTTTTGATAGGGACATTGATAAAAGGACTCATCTTCTAAGATAATTCTATAGATAATTTCGCAAAGATGAGTTTTTTCTATCTGTAAGGATTTTGGTAGAAGGTCCAATGAGAATGGCTGGCTTGGCTTTACTGGACCATGGAGCCAAGAGAGAGCAGTAGATGTGCCCAGCGGGTCATCCGTAAAAGAATCCACAATATAAGGCCCTAACAAGCAGGGAATAATGATAAGCAGGACAGAAAGAAATGTCAGTCTCAGACAAAGAATAGTCAGAAAGTTCTAAGTCAAAAACAACTTCGGTAGAGTCAGGAGAAACATCTGTAATACATTCCCAAGCTGTATTGTTAGCAGACCTTTTAGAAAGACGTATTTTTAAGGAAGCCCCCAGCTTGAAGGAGCTTTCGGCCTGAGGCTACAACACTAACCCATACCTGCACAGGAACAAAAGCCCAGAGAAGAGTGAACAAGCTGCTTTACATAGCTCACGCTGGGACTGAATGAGCTCTGCAAATTGGAGCTCTCATATGTGACAAATGCCACCAGACAACAACTTTTGCTACCGGCCTCCTGATGGTGCTTATGAATGGACTATGCTTGGGTTTCAACTTATCTGTTAGCTAATAAAGGCTCTCTTTGATTTCATACATTTTGAGCCCAGGAGGGGGATGGAGACTGCCTCACTGCTCTCAGCAGTCTGATGTTTAAGTCAATACCGACAAACTAGTCTCTCACTTTTCTGCCTTCCCCGGAGCCAGGAGAAAGGGAAATTCAATGCCAAGGCACACACTGCTTGCAGAATGACTGATGGTGATATCTCCACATTTCAGGTCTCATGAAAGATAAACCATCCCATGAATTATACTCAGCAGGACACCTGGAGTTATTCAGTCTACTAGAATTTTTCTCAAAGTTCAGTTTAAATATGGATCCTGCTAGGTCTAGAACCCCAAGAATCATCTCTTACTTTATATCCAGAAACAATCAATTGTGATATTACGTGCACAGATAGATGAACGTATTACTGGAAAAGACATTATGTCCAGAACGCCATTTTAAGAAATGAGAGGAGAAAATCAAATTGCTCAAAATATTGCAACAAATTGTACCAATTTCTAGAAAAAAAAATCTTACACGTCAATAAGAAAAAAATTACTTACCTAATAGAAAAATGAGCAAAGAACATGAACCTGCAAATTATTAAAGAAGAAATACGAATGGCTAACAAATAGGTAGGGGAAAATTTGACCTCAATTGTAATATAAAGGTCAAATGAACAAAAAAAATTGGATGTCATTTGTACTTCTCAATCTTGGTGTTCAAAAAAAAAAAAGTCAATAGTATCCAGTTTCATTAAAGCTCAAGGAAATGATATTTCATTCATTCCTCATAACTGATGACCCTTCCAGGGTGAGATATACCGGTGCATAGTACGTACCTTCTGACCTGACAATTCCACATCTAGAAATTCATCCTAAGGAAACAGCGTGGACAGCTGTAAAAATTGAATAGCCCAGATGTTCTCTGAATTTTTTTTTACTAGAGGAACAATTAAAAACAAACTTCAACAACAGGAGTGTGTTTAAAGAGACTGGATATCCATACGAGGGTCTCCATACAGCCATTTGAAATGATGGAGAAGAACATGGGATGATATGAAGGGAAGCCCACTTGTGACAAGTGGGGAAAAAAAGCAGCTTTGTACACAAAAGTACAACCCATGTTTGTCAGTATATTAAATATTAAAAACCACACTCTGCAATGCCAATGGACAATTTTATTCTTTTTGTTTACCTTAATATTCCAAATTTGGAGCATTTTTTTCTTTTTCTTTTTTTTTTTTTAAGACATGCTACCCACAAAAGAGTCTGATTTCTGTGATGGGTGGTACAAATATAAACAGAAAGTGAACGTGAAAGCATTTAGTAAAATTAAATTCTCTTCTATACCTAAATCAATGCTATTAATGCAGATACAAAAAAGCAAGAGAATTATGGCTGCAGACAGCAAGTGACATTTTTTTCCTAATACACAGATTTAACTGACCTTCCTCAAGAACTTTCCTTAAGAAAAATGCTCTTAAGTTATATCTAAGTTACAGGAGGGGAAGGGGAAAGGAGAAGGAAAGGGGATTTTTATCTATGTAGCAATTAAAAGAAATGGGAAAGTATTAATATGAGCCAGCAAATGAGTATTCAAGAGATAAGATCAAAAAACCAGTCCATCATTTAGGGAGAGGTGAAGGGATTTCTGTGACCAATCACATGTCTCTCTGGCAGTGTATGTGTGGTGAGGGGCAGGACTGACCTACTCTGTGGGTAACACCAGCAAGCCACTCTGCTTTGTCTGGAGAAGTTCTCCCGGGCAGAAAGAGACATCACGTAGGAGAAAAGGAGTATTAAGGCACTTAGTGTTTTAATGAAGCACCCAACTCATTTTTTTTTCTACATAAAGTAATTACAAATTTTTCTGATTTAAAAGCATGCAGCTCAATTATGTAATTACCTAATAGGTTATGCAGGTGCTGTGGATCTTATCTGGTCTCGAGGGGACATAATCCGAGTTTCGGTGGCTTTAATGATGTATTTACTCAAGAGACGGGATTGACTCCAGCTGACAGCAAAGGGACCCACAGGTAAACATCATTTACATGTGGCTGTTTAATTAGCCATTTACCCAAGAGATCAAAGTAAATATTTCTGAGCTTCGTTAGATTCTTCACCAAGTAATTTCTAGTAGAACTTTCTTAAATTTTGAAAACCCTTAGTTTTATGATTTTTATCTATGGAGAAATATTTAACCCATACTATTTACTAAATGTATATATTGTTTCTTTCTTTCTTTCTTTTTTAAGATTTTATTTATTTATTTGACAGAGAGAGACAGTGAGAGAGGGAACACAAGCAGGGGGAGGGAGAGGGAGAAGCAGGCTTCCCGCTGAGCAGGGAGCCTGATGTGGGGCTCGGATCATGACCTGAGCCAAAGGCAGACGCTTAACTGAGCCACCCAGGCGCCCCTATATTGTTTCAATGCAGAGAAGTAACTCAAAGACACTTGATTTTGCTCACTGTGACAGGATGGTTGTGTAAACCAAAGCAGTTCTAGAACCCACAAAAGCATTTTGTTGTGAAGTTCACAAGGCTTGTCTTGCTCGTGTCATTTTGGTAACACGGTTCTTTAGGGCTGTGCATTTCTTCAGTCCTAAACTGACAGAAACGGCCCGCTTACTTCTACTTTTAAGGACAGACTTCGTCATTAATTTGTTGGTAGCTTTTATGATTGTTACGAAGATGAGATCATGATGATTTAAAAAGGAACATAAAGCCTACTAGGGGAGGCAGAATATCATTTGATTCCTAAGTTCTTAATCAGGCAGCCCCCTTCCCATTAATACTGGAGTTATTATTTGAAAAATTATGAGTGAATTGGTAATCTGGAACTTGGAATATATGTTCTAAACAACTTAAATAACAACATGATTAGATAGAAAAGGGCAGTAGATCTTTCACCCTTGATGTGGCTGAGATGCGAAGTACTTGCAGTGAATGGAATGAATGGGAAACAATGTTGTTATAAAATAGTACTGAATAAAATGGACAACAAAACCTGAGAACAAAATCCTTCTTAAGAACTACATTTATCAACAGATACGGAATGGACCTACAAAACACAGGTTCTGTTTTTCCTAAAGAATATCGTTCTTTATTTACTGAATCACATAAAATGCAGTAAAATGCAAATGTGTGTGAGAAGGATACATTCCAGGTAATCTGTGAAAAGAGAAACGGGATCCGTGAGAGGCACACAGGGGCTGTATCTATAACCGCAGCAGGTGATTTCTGAAGGAAGCAGGTAAGAGGAGGGTGAGGAAGGGCAGGGTGATGGCAGGGTCGGGGGAGAACGAAGCAGAAGGTGAAGTCTGAAACAAATCCGGTGCAATGGTAATGACACACATGAACTTGGGCAGGCATGGGACTGTTAAGTTCATTACATCATTCTATGTGTATATGTCTGAAATGTTAAAAAAATCTTTCTCCTCTTTTTAATTAAAGAGGCAAAGAAGGGGGGCTTGGGAAGCACTGAAGGTGCTCTGAAAGGCTTGGGGAAGGAAGTGATGGCAGCGACTTGACCACACAGTGACAGTGGTGTGTGACTTCGGTGCTGAGGTGGCAAGGCTTGCCTCCAGGAGGGGCACATGTTGAATCCATGAACTTTGAACATGATACAAATACAAACTTAAAAAGGATCAAAGCCAGAAAACCCTACATTACAGATAAAGATGAAAAAACACACTTTGAAACAAGACACACTGACAAGACATTAAACTTAGAAGAAGCGCCATCTCTCTGAATAGATGGCCTTCTAGAGAATCACGAAGACTATACTAGGCACGCTCTAGACCTGGGCTTCTGGGTCCTCCCTTGCTCTCCTTAGGGACCTGCTCCATCTGTTCAGCATCTTCACACTCTCCCTCGGGTGCCTCCTTGCTTAAAAAGCTCTCAGAGCTTTCTGGGTCTGCTAAACCAAACACAAACTCCTGGTGCCCTACTTGGGCTGGATGGATGCAGCACACAGGGCCCACGACACCCTGGACCTTCTTGCCCACCTCCCCCAGCCTGGAGCCCACCAGACAGGAGGACCGGAGCTCAGCTCTACTTTCTGGGTCTGTTCTTTGGCTCCCAACAGCCCTTCCCTGTTGCCCCTGCCATCACCGGCCTGATGCACCCCTCTGCACTCTTAGCCTGTCAAATTTCTGTCTCTCTTTTAAGGGTCACCTCACACCTTTCTACTCCCTCCACTGTAAAGTCTGCCCTCATTCTATCTCCAGATGGCTTGGCTCCTTCTTCTGAAGGCCCATATCTTTTGCTATTTTCTTATTGCACACATCCCACTATGCCATTCCCCAGAAGGAGATGCCATGTTTTTATTTATTTCTTTCTCTCCAATGGATCTGGGCTGGTACCTGTGTACAGAGGTGGATCAATACATATTTGCTGAATTAATATTTATGACTTTTCAGTATTTTTATATGGAGTGGAGAAAGAAAACCAGAATGCTACAAGATGCTTCTAAGTTCCTTGAAAAATGTTGTGTTTGTTATGTTTAAATAGGTTACCTCTAGGATCTGAATTAACTGTATGGAGGGAGTTGAGATTCCTACACAAAACTCTGTGCAAAAGGCCTGAAGTGCAAACAAACAAACCACAAAACCTCACTTACTATGTAACATTTTTTTCAAATATTTTAACCATTGTAAAGAATGTCACTATTTCCTCAAATAATCATTTGCATAAACTTGAAACTTATTTTTTAAAAAATAAATATTACTGACCCTTGTCGTCTGGTTCATGTTTTTGACTGGGAAAACTTTAGATGGCTTAGCTACCTCTTCTTTGATAGAATTATCATGTTCTTGCAAGGTGGCAACATGCCAATCCAAGTGTGCCCTCAATAAGGCTGCTGCTGGGGCTTGTTCAGATCTGTAAAACAGAAAGGGGAGACGCATTAAAGACTGGCAGTACTGTGTTACCTAGGAGATTCCTTCATTTTTAGAGGTGCCACAATCAAGTTAACAAAGGACAGTTTATCCAGAGAAGTCTGGAACCTAGTATATTCGGGAGTAAGGTAATTTCCAGAGTCCAGGTATCTTTTTTTTTTTTTTTAATTTATTTTGGTTATGAGTTCACTTGCTAAATGAGCATTTTCAACTTTGATTGCCTACTGGAACCACCTGGGGAGATTTGCAAAATCTAGGTGTCTGGGGCCATTCCTAAAGGATCTAGTAAAACTGGACTGGGGTGTGGCCTTGGCCGTTAGGATTTTTTTAAGGCTCACAGAGTGGTTCTAATACGTAGCCATGGTTTCAAATCACAGCATAGGTGGTCACGCTCCTCTTACGTGTGGTTAAAAGAAACCGATCACATTTTATTCTCAACAACTCTTATCCTTGTTTACTCTTTGTTATCCTTGTTTATCCTTGTTATACTTGTACTATGGTCTACTTGTAATTAAAAAGCATTAAGATAGGGACGCCTGGGTGGCTCAGTCGGTTAAGCGGCTGCCTTCGGCCCGGGTCATGATCCCAGGGTCCTGGGATCGAGCCCCACATCGGGCTCCTTGCTCAGCAGGGAGCCTGCTTCTCCCTCTCTCTCTCCCTCTGCTTGTGCTCTCTCTGTCAAATAAAATTAAAAAAATCTTAAAAAAATAAAAAATAAAAAATAAAAAGCATTAAGATAATATTAGGAAAGAGTTCAAAAGCAAGCCTAAGTTATATGCCCAGACTATGGCATGTAGTACACCTCTGGGGTAGGAGACGGACAAGATGAGCCTGGAACACCTTGGTATCACAGATGAAGCTCTCAGAGACTATTGAGTCGTGTCTACAGGCCTCAGAGGCTATCATGAAGGGGATCCCACTGACCCAAGATGAGACATTTTGAACACCAAAAAGAATAATGACTGCAATGGACTGACACACAGCAGATACATGAAAATCATGAGTTCATTTAAAAAATAAATAACAAAAAAAGTAAGGAAGCTTTTAAAAGAATAAAAACCTTTGGATTCAGCCTTAAAAAAGGAAGCAAGTCTTGCCACATGCTGCAACATGCATAAATCTTAAGGACATTATGCTAAGTTAAATAAGCTAGTCACAAAAAGGCAAATACTGGATGATTCGATTTACATAAGGTACCTAAAATGGTCAAATTCATAGAAACAGAGCGGAATGGTGCTTGCCAAGGACTTGCAGGGAGAGAGAAATGGAGAGTTGATTAATGGGTGTAGAGTTTGTTTTGTGAGATGAAAAAGTTCTGGGGATCTGGTGCCCAACAACATGAATATCCTCAATGCTACTGAACACTTGAAAATGGTTAAGACGGGGGGCGCCTGGGTGGCTCAGTTAAGCATCTGCCTTCAGTTCAGGTCACAATCCCAGCATCCTGGGATCAAGCCCTGCATAGAGCTCCCTGCTCAACCTTGGGGTGGGGGGAGGGGAGTGGGGGGGTGGTGTCTGCCTCTCCCTCTGCCCCTTCCCCTACTCATGCTCTTTCTCTCTCTCTCTTTCATTCTCTCTCTCTTGCTCTCAAATAAATAAATAAAATCTGTTAAAAAATGGTTAAGATGGTAACTTTTGCTGTGTGTGTTTTACCACAATTAGTAATATAAACCAACCAGCCAACAAACCTTTGGAGGCTGCTAGGGCAACCACTCATTCTGATAATTGGTAAGTAAAGGGACAGAATCATTTATCCTACCTTTGTGGTCAAAAAAATGCATTTCAGGATTACCAAGAAGTTCATGGGCAAAGTTCTTCCAACTAAAAAATGCACAACAAATGAATTAGTCACCATTCTGTAAGTCCAAATTAATGAATGCATCCAAGAAACGGTAATTTTGTGAAAATTACATAGTGGTAAAATGTCATACTAAAGGCATCAGTGTGCCAACGCTTGAACCTACAAATCCCAGTCTTAGCACCACTAAAAGTGGGACAACCTGCCATCCCGTGCTGCCTGCGGACGTGTAACAGAAGGACCAGTACCACCTACCATGTTGTCTTGCCCAAAATAACTGGTCTGGAGTATAATCTTTTTTCATTTATTATTATTGTTATGTTAATCACCATACATTACATCATTAGTTTTTGATGTAGTGTTCCATGATTCATTGTTTGTGTAAAACACCCAGTGCTCCATGCAGAACGTGCCCTCTTTAATACCCATCACCAGGCTAACCCATCACCCCACCCTCCTCCCCTCTAGAACCCTTAGTTTGTTTCTCAGAGTCCATCGTCTCTCATGGTTCATCTCCCCCTCTGATTCCCCCCCTTCATTCTTCCCCTCCTGCTATCTTCTTCTTCTTTTTTTTTTTTTTAACATATAATGCAGTATAATCTTGTATCTGGATTGAACCACCAGTTTATGGGTAACATCATTTGGATCCTTTTTCAAACAAATAAAATGTAAAAAGACTTTGAGACAATCAAGGTCAATGGGCAAAGAATAGGTATTAGATAAGGAATCTTGTTAAACAGTAATGTATTAAATGCTTATCTGTTAGATAAGTATTTGTATTTGTAAATGAAATATGTTATCTGTTTTAAATGACTCAAGAAAAAAGTGTGGGGGAGAAAAAGAGATAACACAAGACTAAAAAAATGTTGACAATTGGTGGATCGTGGTTATAAATCATGGGATTTCATTATGTTGTTATATTTGCTTTTGTGAATTTTTTAAAATTTCAAAGTAGAAAGTTAAAAAAACCCAGGGTACTAATGTCTGTAATTACTTGTAAATGCATCAAAATAAGAGATTGAGATTGACAGACTGGTGGAAGGATGGAAAGACAGACAGATATAGGTGTGCAATAACATGTCAATGGTAGATCTGAGTGGTAGATATAGGGATGGATGCTCACTGTACAGTCCCTTTATTTTTCTGTATGTTTGGAAATTTTTGTAATAAAATGTTTGGGGAAAAAAGTAAGTCTATGTACAATTCAGAATATGTACATTCTTTAATGCAGCTTTATTGTTAAAATCTTTGCTTGACTTAACCAAGACTTGCATAAAGTAGGATGTGTCATGGGGATCCTTGAACTTCTTTAAAAACTTCCCAGAATGATTCCAAAGTTTCTGGCTAGTTTGGCAGACAGCCCCTTCAGTAACTTGAATTTGTTGGTTTCTTCCAGACTTCACTGAAGTCATAATGCCACTCAATTCCTTTGTTCTGATTCTTATATAAATGAAGGAACATCCATCTGCATTTGGTTTCACAATAGATTTCCCTACTGGGAAAATGCACTCACAGGACATGAGCAAATTCTAGTCTATTCAGCTGTTGTATTTCTTATAATGAGTAAATCAATTGTGTTTCTAGTCTGAAAGCATGTTTAGTTAGGTTGAATTAAACTTGAAAACAAGTTGAATTAGAATGAATTACATTAATTAAATTAGTTGGGATGGATTGAATGATCAGAGACCAGTCTCTCAGGTGATTGATACACACGATTTCTGCAGAGACAAAGCCAAGGCAAGACTCTGGCTACTAATATCCCCACCAACTATAACCATCCCTCAGGTCCTGGGATGAAGAACTAGCTAAGGTTTCCCACAATTACTGTAAAACTTCACAAAAGGCCAAAACCATTAATCGACTTGCACGGGGCCAAGCAGCAAATGAACTACTGAAGGAGTTACAGCATCTAGAATCTTGTGACTTCGGAACAGCTAAGCCAACCCTTAAAGCACAAAAACAGGCTTTTCTGCAGATTTACTTCAGGATCGACTGGGCAAGGAGAGCAAGAGCTATGGCTGTCTTTGCATGAGATGTTGCCCATGGTTCTACATAAATACACCAAATCAGAAAATTTGCAAAGCAGTACAAAGGCCTTACAAAAGTTGTTTTCTCTTTTGTCCACTTTCATTGGAAGATTTGTAACATCGGTGCCACAGAGAGAAAACAAAAGTTTGGTGTCAGTTAAATGATATACTCCTCTAGTTAAAAATACAACAAAAGAAGAGACTCGAGTCTATAATTAATTTCATATATTTGGAATGGTTGCCAGTCAGAAAACTGCAATTTACACAAATGTACCTGTGCTTCCTAACCACAACTGATTTACAACAGATTGGTAATTTGATCAAAGTTTTAAATGCAGAAAAATTAATGAACATCTTGCTTTTATTCTGAATACAGGCAGAATAAAATAAAGAGGTTTTTACATATTGTAATCCAAACAATATAAAGCTGACTCAATTTTTCAGCTCGAGTTTGAGAGCAAAATTGGGAAACCATATTTGAAAGGCAATTAATTAGTTGCACCTGGAAAAAAAAATGATAGTCTCATGATGGCTCATCATATAAGATAAAATTACTTATTAAGTAATCGTTTTTATCTTAAAATGTTTTCCCAAAGGCAATGATGAACAAAATTTTTTATCAAGTACCCCCAATGACATGAATCATATTTTAGTAGTTAATTGTTTAAAATAGTGACCTGGTCCTCTACCTAGTAAAAAGCCTTTCTTCCAAATGAAGGTCTTTGAACATTTAATCCTTGATATAACAAAAATCAATAACAATGATAGTAATGGTCTTGTTCTTTTTTCTTTTAAAATGCTTCATTTTTTGAGCAGGAATTTGGAAGCCTTCACATTAGCTTTTAGAGTAGGTTATGGGGCAGGTGTCCTATTCTACAGATGAGATTAAAGAGACAGATGTCGATTGCCATGGTTTGGTCAGGGGCACAAGCAGGACTTTGGCCACACCAAACATGACTCTATTCAACAGGCTTTAAGGAGTTCTTAACTTGCTAGAGGCTTCCCACTCTGCCTGGCTCAGACTTCTATGACATCAGAATCATTAGCAATCAAGGAACAAAAGCAAATCATTCTCTCCAAATCTGTGTTTCTGGAATGGTTCATCAAACTGACTAGTTTGGTCCAGGGGAGATCACCAAGAAGGCAGGAATATTTCAC